GGAAGGGATATTCCTCAGATTGAATACTAATGTATGTACTTATTTATACTTTATTCCATAAATAATTTGAGGATTTTTTATATAATATAATAAAATAGTAAAATATAAATAAGGTTTAAGGAAAATATAAACTAGGATAGAATACTAAGATTATGAAGAAAACATACAAGTCACACAGTTACGTATGCAGATTATAAGGTCCTACATGTTGAGCTGTATTTTTAAAAATTTTTTTGATTTTTTTTGTAGGGGGAGGTAATTAGGTTTGTTTGTTTGTTTGTTTGTTTGTTTGTTTATATATAGAGGAGGTATCGGGGATTGAACCCAGGACCTCATGCATGCTAAGCATGTGTGTTGAGCTGTATCTTTGACTCTAAGCTTCCAGGATAGCCAAAGTTAATACACACAATTGCTTACTTAGTTCTCTCTTTCCACAAAGAAAACCTTTGCCAATTCTTCGAGAGAAGTAAAGTTGTTCTGGCAACAAGTTCTAGAAGCTGACCCCGAGATGAGGGTTGAGTGCAACAGTTTATTTGAGAGGTAATCCCAGAAAGCGTTGGTAGGCGTATAGGAAAGTCAGACGTGGAGGGGAAAGAACTGAATAAAGGGCATTTTTTGAGCAGGTGTGCAGAGCACTCATGCGGTTAGTCCCCTCTCAGGGGCAAGGAAACTGCGGCATCCCATCCATCACTAGCTGAAGCTTACTCCTGGGGGCACTGACGTCCCAGCACGTCTGGCCTGCCTGGAACACACACCAACAGGGAGCACTCAGACGGAGAGTGACATTGTGCCAATTTTCAGGCCCAGGCCTTAAGACCCCGGCAGCTTCCACCTTCTCTTAGGACACTGACCTTAGGAGCCTTGAGATGCCATTCAGGCTGCTGAGGCCTCTGGGCTGTGAAGTAACGGGACTGCATGAAGAGACCACGTGTAGGTGTGCGAACCAGCAGTCAGCACCACCTGCCAAGCATGGGAGTGGAGATGCATCCAGATGATGCCAGTGTGAGTGGAGCCAGCCCACCCTCCAACCTTTGGGGTTCCCAGCTGAGACCCCAGACGTCATAGAATGGAGACAAGCCATCGCCACTGTGTCCTGCCCCAGCTCCTGACACACAAGACCCGTGGTTGTCTTATGCCATTGTGTTCTGAGGTAGCTGGTCACACAACAGTGATAACTGGAATGATTCATCATTGTAATCACTCCTCAGTTCCTCTGCCCTTCTCCCAGTTCTTTGTTTTCACGTGGCAAAAACTCAGCCCTGGCTAATCCAACTCTCTCTTTATTCCACACCTGCAGTCTCACAGCTGAATACACCAGAAATGCTCACCTTACCCAGGTTAAGAGGCACGGTCCCTACAACAGCCTCCACCCCACTTGCCCTGCTCTCCCCTTGCTCATTCTGCCCCTCCTTGCTCTACCTTAACTGGCCTGCCTGCCCTGCTCCTGCCCCAGGGCCACTGCCCTCACTCGTCCCACTGCCTGAGAGCCTCCTTCCCCAGATCTGTGTGTGGCTGGCTCCTTCACCTCCCGCGAGTCTCAGCTCCTATGTGACTGTCTCAGTACAGACTTCTCTAACCAACCCCTCCATCCCTACTCCAGCATGTCCTATTCTCCGTCCCTGCTTTATTTCTCTCCTCCAAATTCAGCCTGATATTTACTACTCATTGTTCTGGTTTTCTGAACCCCGCCCCCCAGTTAGAATGCAAGCCTGGAGAGGACAGAGATTTTCTTTCATTTCATTGAATGATTCTCGCTGTTTTCCAGCATCTAGAATAGTGCCGGACACATTGCACATGCTTCGTAGATATTTTAGACTGAGACGCTCTCCGTTCTAGGGATGAGCTAGCCACTCCATTCCAGGCTAGGCCCGGCTGAAACCCCGTAACAGAAAGCCTCCTACGGCAGCAAGCCTGACGGGCCGCAGCCTTCCGGAACTCCTTGTCCGGCATGATCACATCTCTGATCCCGCTGAGTTGCAGCCTGCAGGCCACTTGGCCCTGCCGCTTTTTCTGGAGCCTCTGGGCTACAGTGCTCCTACATCCAGGCAAGAGCACTCTGCTCCCAGCTCCATCTCTTGTCCTCCCTCTGCACGCCAGGATACAGCCCCATCTCGGGGGTCCGAGCAGGCTTAGGTGGGGTGTGGAGAAGGGACCCGGGCCTGGGCAGCAGCATGCCTTCCCCTGTGCTACGTCCCCACCAGGCTCAGAAGTAGAACCGAGGCCCTGCAGAAAGACACCTGCATTTCCCTGGTGACTGCCAGTGTCCAAGCCTAGGTCTCAGATGGCCTTTCTATCGCTTTCCCTAGAGCCAAAGAGTGGATATGCAAACAAGATCCCGAAGGTCAGTTATCAGAGAACCCAGCCTCATTCCTGCTCAGCTGAACAGGGAGGTTGCCCACATGTCTGCACTTGGTGCACATTTCCTGGTTTTACCTCATTTGGAAACATCCACTGTGGCTTATTGATCTCAGGCAAGTTATTTTTATCTCTATGGGGACTTCGTTGTTTATAAGAAAAATCCTTTATTTCTGGAGTCATTTGGAAATTAAATGAGATAAAGTAAGCTTTAAGGAGCCTTGCACAATGACAGGACTAACAATGATGTTTCGCTGTCTTCCTCCCCCTGACCTCCCTTATCCTTGGTTGAAGGGGAAGTTCACTGAGAGAAGGAACCACATCTGCCATCCTTTGTATCTTTCACATCTTCAGAGCCCAGAGGATAGTGCTCTGCCTGTGATGTTTAATAAATGCATATTTATTACACTCCCAATTATCCACCCTGAATTGCACCAGAGGATACAAAGATTTCCAAACCAAAAATATCTAAAAGACTCTTAGTTGAAGGCCTCTTGATATAGGGTTCTTTTTTTTTAAATTGTATTTTTATAATTGTGCTAATGAAAGAGATTCGTGCTGAGACTGAATTATTTTGTAGTGCCTGCTTTTCTAAATAAGTAATTCATTAAATATATACAATATATCTTTGTGGGTTTTTTTTTTCTTTCTTCATGTCTTACTTGATTTACTATCTAATGCCTGGAAATGACGAACCAAGCATAAGGAAACATTTTATAGTCGCAGAGATCAGAGTAATCTCTTGTATATAGGAGGGTCTAAATCCATATTTATTGAATGATAAAACAATGTAAAACATTACTAGTATTACAAGTTGACAACAAATTTGAAAATTTTGATTAAAAGGAAACATATTTGCTTCTAATAACAAGACAGAGAAGTAGCATTTCATGAATTCTTTTTCATATTGTACATTTTTCAACAAGCTCTTGTGTTTATGTTTTGTTTTTTGAGGGTCAGACGTTCAGTGACTGCTTAAGTCTGCTGAATTTTGAATCTTTCCCCTTCAAGCCATGGATCTTTCCTTAACTTGGCATTCTTACTCAGTTTCATCTCTTTCCCCAACTCCTCATGCCCCTCCTCTGTCTTGTCCTCCCTCCCTCCTCTCACTTCTGGGCCTCTGCACATCTGCTTTCCTTCACTTTCTTGACTCCTTGCCTGGATAACTCCTGGCAGTATCATCTTAGTTACAAATGCCTCTTCTTCTAGGAAGCCTACCCTGACCAAACCAGGTGAGCTGCCTCCCCCACAGCTGTCTCCTCTAACAAAAGAAAGGTTCCTGCAGGGCAAGGACTGTTTCCGGCTCCTTCTCCTCCCAACACAGCACTAAGTCCCTGACACAAAGTAGAATCTCCCGGAACACACAGCTCTGTTGAATGAACAGAAAACTTGCCTCCTTGGCATCTTTGGACAGAAGTCACAAAATGTCATTGGGAAGATAATTGTTTCATTAGCTTAGTGAACTATTTTATATATTGGCAGCCAATTCCAATAGCAGCAAGGCTGTATGTTTACCAAGCTTTCAATATACATTAAAAATCCTTTATAAAAAGCCTGGCAGAATCTTGTAGACTGAGGGGCAGCATACTTAGAGTGGAACAAAAGGGGAGAGGAAATTTTAGAATAAAGTTATGATCTATAAAGTAGTAGAAAAATTTATATAATGTTCATAGCAGCATTTTTCTTCAGAGCCAAAAAAGTGGAAACAACTCAAATGCCCATCAAGTGGTGAATGAATGAATAAACAAAGTGTGGCATACCCATCCCATACAATTGAATATTATTTGCCCATGAAAAGGAATGAAGTTCTGAGGCATGCTGCCACATGGATGAACCTTGAAAACATTATGCTAACTGAGAGAAGCCAGTCACAAGAGGCCATGTACTGGATAATTCCATTTACATGAGACATCTATAACAGGAAAATCTATAAAGGCAAAAAACTAGATTAATGGTTGGTAGGGTTGAGGTGAGTGAAGAGAGAAAGGGGAGTGACTGCTAATGGTATGAAGTTTATTTTGGAGGTGATGAAATCTTCGAAACTTAGATTGTGATGATGGCTGCATAGCTCTGTGAATATACTAAAAAACATTGAACTGTGTAGTTTAAATGGGCAAATTGCATGGTTTGTGAATATCTCAACAAAGCTGTTTTCGAAAAGCAGTAGAGAACATTTGTTGAAAAGTTATACCTCAGTTGACTGTGGAAAAAAATTAATTTTCTAAATAATCCTTACTGGTTATAGTTCTAGTTGGTGCTTCTTGGTAAGTGAAAAACCAGATCTCTAAAATCTGGCCCTTCGAACCCCTGTGTGCACACCCAGGAAGCCCCACTTATGGTTGACCTGCCAATGATTGAGTCTCAATTATGAGATGCTAAAGATGCCAGCCGAGCTGCCACAGCGTGATGAACTGAAGGGAGAAAGCAGTAAATGAGGTGAGCACAAAGTATTCAAAGCACACAGCATAATGAGGAAGGAAACAGCAAAATTACGTTTATGGTGTAAAATGTGAACACATACCTGGAAACTGACAGCTTGTGAAAGCACAATTAGTTTTGTGGAGACCTCTCCTGGCTAGCTGTCCGATTTGGGGAGTCTTCATTCCAGGCACCAGTGTGGTTGGAGGGAGGTAGGACACCCGCATTCCAGTCCTGGCTCTGTCATTTATTCACCATTCAACAAACGATTATTACAAGTCCTCTACAAGCCAGGCACTGTATCTAGCCCTGTTGACTCAAAGTTCAAAGAGACACACCCTACCTCAAGGGTACAATTTTTCAGAGAAAGGCGATTAAAAAGTATAGAAAGTGCTGTGTCGGGGAGACGGGGATCTGTTCCCCCTCCAGGAATAAAGAAAGAAGAGGTCAGAGTGAGGACAAGGCGTAACCATTAGTCGAAGTTGTATGGGTTCCTGGTTGTTTGCTGTCCCACAAGCATGTCAGCTACTTGAGGAAGGAGAGGCTTTCTATCTAATTCTTTTTTTAAAAAAAGCTTTATAGAGGCATGATTCACGTACTGCACAACTCACTCATTTGAAGTATGCAATAGTTTTTAGTATTCACAGATTTATACAATTAACACCACAGTTTAATTTTAGAGTAGTTTTATTACTCCAGCAAGGAACCCTGTATCCGTTAGCAGTCCTCCCAATCCGAGCCCCCTCCACTCGCAGACCTGGCCAACCACCACCTTCTGTCTGTGTAGATTTGCCTTTGCTGGATGTTTCCTACCAACGTGACTGGCTTCTTTCACTGAGCATAATGTTTTCAAGGTTCATCCACGTGCTAGCATGCCTCTGTACTTCATTCCTTTTCATAGCCAAATAATATTGCACCGTGGGGTCTTTGTCCATTCATCAGTTGACGGGCACTTCAGCTGTTTCCACTTTTTTGGCTTTTATGAATAATGCTGCTCTGAACGACTGTCGGTAATATTTTGGGCACATGCTGCCATTTCTCATGGGGGTACCCTAGGAGTGGAACTGTTGGATCATATGGTTACTCTTTAATCTCTTTTGAGGAACTTCAGACTGTTTTCAAAAGTCCACCATTTTATATTCCTCCCATTGATTTCTCTCCATCCTTGCCAACACTTGATATTTTCTGTCTTTTTGACCATACATCAAAGTGGGTGCAGTCACCACAATCATTTCTGTATCCCTAGTGCCTCAAAGACAACCTGGCACGGGCAGATATAAATTTATTTGTTGAGCAAATCTGAGAACATAGTGGACATTTGTCATCTGGGGGATTCCCCAAATCTGACCCTCTTTCCTTTTTGGGTGGGATTATCTAGTCATTGCTGGAAAGAAGTAGATCCCAATTACTACATAGAAGCCAATTACTACATACTTTGCCACACCTACCAACAACTAGCGCAAGGAACACGTTAAGCTTAGTAAACCTAATGGATTCGCCACAGGCTTCGAAGAGGGAGCTCCCGTAATGCAACGTAGGTTTGGTGGAGAATCCGTTCTGGTGGCAGTAATGGGCACTGCAGTGACATCCGGTTTCCAGAGCAACAGAGCTGGGAATGCCAGTGGTGGGTGGTACCTGTGTTCAGTGCCACGGAACCGGAAGGTCAGCTGAGGTATCCTGTTCTGAGTGGAGGTGGTGGCCTCCCTCGATGTGCTGTGCTGTGATATTGGTTGCGATCCAAGCTGCTGCCCAGACTTCCTTGTTCTTGCTTACTGTCTGAGCCTGTGTCTGCAGACTTCCCAGAAATATTGTCAGCCACCCAATATTCTTTCACAAATTCTCTTTTCTCCTCAAGCCGGCAAAGTCAGTTTCTTCTGCTGCTTGCAACAAGAAATCTGACTGTTACAATGAATACTGGATGCGTGAGTGGGCAGATGGACGGACTGATCAGTGGATGAATGGGGCTACATGGAGACAGTGTTTTGAAGTATGAGTAGAGGTTCCTCAGGCACAAATGCATTCCAGGCAGAACAAAGAGCACAGCATAGGCATTGAGCAATGAGACAGCATGGTGCACTGGGAAAATGTCAGGAATCCAGTCTGGCTCGGGTATAAGTGCAAGGTGGGGAGCGGTGAGGTGTAAAGCTAGAGAGACTAGCCTAGGACAGATCATGAAGGATCTTTTAGGTTATGCTAAAGATTTTTGATTCTACCTTAAAAAAATCTCTATCAATTTAACCAAGATAGTGACATTATCAGACTTGCATTTAGAAAATATGCTATTAAAAAAGGAAGCAGGAAGAATGAACTGGAGGAGAGCAAGACTACAGATGGGAAGACCAGTTAAGGGGCTCCAGCAGTCATTCCACTGAAAGATACTGAAGGTCTGAATCAAGGCAGTGAGCTTTGGGCAAGAGGCACTGGGTCTGCGATGTATTAAGGAGGGAGAGCCGAGAGGAATTTTCCTCCTCATTTTGATATACAGGAATTAAGAAAGAAGGAAGATCATGCATGACTTCAAGGTTTTGTCTTGAATAAGGCAGAGATGGTGACGTCATGTATGCATGCAACTACTCCTTCAACAAAAATTTAATTAGCGACTCATTGTGGGAGGTGCTGGGTACAATGCAGTGAATAAGGCAGACCTGCTCCTACCTTTGCTGTGGTGACAACAGCTCTATGTTAGGCCCTGTGTATGTGTCTTCGATTTTCTGGGTCTCTTGCTCTGACTCAGCTGCCACTATGAGTGACTTAGGGTGTGGTCTGACTGCCCAAGGCAGACCAGACACATACCAGTAGTTTCTTTCCATCTCTTCTGGACTCCAGGGAAGGGAGGGATCTGGCTTTCTAAGTGGCTATTAAATAATACGGATAGCAAAACTGGTAAGTATGGGAAAGTTTGCTCCCTGTGGAATCAAGTTTGACCAAGTGGAGACAGGAGACATAAAGATAAAATTCCTTCCTTCCTCAGATTGTTCCAAGGCATGATTCCTCCATAGTGTCTGTCTGGTCAACTGGTTGTACCTGTCAAGGGACTGGCTGCATCTCCTCAGGGCTCGTCATGAAGCAGTGTTCAGCCCAGTAATGCAGCACTATGCATTGCTTGCCAGGCTTCCTTGCCTTTCCCCTGTCCCTGCCCTGGGATAATATCTCTTAAATCAAGCATCAGCATCCTCGCATCAGGCTCTGTTTTCTCGGGGACTGGGCTAGAACACATCCAGAGAGGAAGACAGGAGATGATTTCAGTTTTCACATGCTTTGAGTTGGAGTGAATTTGAGGGGAAATTATCCATCCATTCAAAAATATGTATTGAGTGCCTCCACGTATGCTTGAATCAGGGACAAGATGGTGAGCAAAATAGACACGCTTGAGTGGCGATGCTCCAGCAAACAACAGACATGTTTCCTGTTCTTATAGAGCTTACATTCGATAGGAAGAAGTGACAAATGATAAATCAGTACAGAAATAAATGAACATGATAAGTCCAGATAATGATAAGCGTTTTGAAGACAAATTTTAGAAGGTGATATGACAGTGTGACTGGTGTGGAGGGCGGTGGTTCTAATGTAGGCTGGGTAGTCAAGGGAACAGAGGATGGGTAGAAGCGAAAGACTTCCCCAGGAGGAGGAGCTGGTCGCCCACAAGAAATGGCTGGGTGAACAGACTGGGAGACAGACATATTTGTCTGGTGTTGGGGTTTAGGTGTGGAGAGGATATTTGCCCCTATTTTCACTGCGAAATAGTTGGTCAGGACGTATGCATAGAAGAGAAAAGGGAGACTGGAGAGGGTGGCAAAGGCATGGGTGAGGGAATAGACCAGGGACAGGTAAGAGGGTCAGCAGGCAGTGTCCGAGCAGGAGAGGTAGACTCTGTATGTATAACCCCTGGCGCTAAGTGGCCATAGGGCTTTGGAAGAGCCTGGCTCTTGGTTTCCTTAGCTGCAGAGTAAGAGAATTGATCAGGCTCCATTATTGTACGAAGGCAAGGAGGAACTGATAAGAAACTTCTACAGAGCTATATAATTCACCTCTTGAAAGACTCCTGAAGTCTTTATGACCCAACAGTAATAAGCTCTCTCCCATCATTCATTACATCCTGGCGACTCATCATCTAACACAACTGTCAGACTCTTTTGGCAAAATGTCTTTTTCATAGCTGAGGACTGTTTACAGTAAGGACAAACAATTGGGGCTTATTAATGCAATCATTAGGACACTGATTATGCCTCTATTGTCTACCCTAGCCAGTTATGCTAAATAAGCTCTTTAGTCTTCATCAGAGCAATTATGCTAATATGCTTGAAATTTTCCAAGAGTATTATACCTTCATGCTTATCTTGCCTAGCAGCAGCCTGGCTCGGTCAATATTGTCACACAGACAATTATAAACAAGGCATATGGTCTTATTGTTGACATATGACTACTGAATTATCCCCTTCACAACAGAACTTTAAAAATTTGTCCATTGTTCTTCCAGGGTTTAGATACTGGTCCCTGTTTAGTTTTTCCAAAATATGTAGATTTCAGATACTGTTTAAATGCCTTATGGGAGTGATCATTGCATTGGAATTGTATTGCAATTTTCCAGGTAATGTTTGAACAATCATTAGATTAGCTATCCAATGATAAATTATCAAATGATTCTTTATGCTTTTAAATGTAAAGAAACATTAATTATCAGATGCCTGGAGAATGATGAGAAAAATAACTTTTCTCCAAATGTTTTTCTCTCTACCATTGCCAACTTCTCTCCCAATCTCATTCTCTTTAAATCTAAAAAAACAAAAAAACAAAAAAACAAAAAAAAACTTTCTTGCATGCTTTGTTTTCTTGAATGATTTTGGCCATGGAATGAGAATTACCCACCATGATCAACCAATGCTTTTATGATAGGCACATAACAGATACCTGATAAATACTTGCTGAAATTAATCTTTTGTCTTGTATCTGCTTTATTCTTGCCTCCAGCATTTCCCATCAGATGTTAAATATTTTTAATTATTAATAAAAATTAGCATGTGAATGAGGATTCTGTATGTGGCTATGTTTGTAGAGGCAGGTGTACACATCTTCAACATAAGTTCATTTAAAATATGAAATTTCATTGTATTAAGATAAAAATCCAGCTGGTGTTGGGTTTCTTCTTTATCATTTACAACAAAAGTAACCCCACACATTTGCTCTTTACAATTTTTACTTAGATTACCTCATTTAATCAGTGTCCTTTCAGTTGCAAATAACTGGATCTTTAAAATGTAATGTTCACTACAACTTAGTTCCAAGAGGATGAGCAAATATAGAGATCAGATGGTCACAAGATACTCAATAATTATATTGAGGGCAACTACAAACTGGAAAGACGGGGCAAAGTGGTGTAGAATGCTTGCAGACCTCTGACACACATACAGCCTTCTGCTATGCAAATGCTGCATTTCACATTTCTTCAATTACATGGTGTTTTTTTATCTTAGGGTGTGGGAAAACAACTGAGAACAAGCCATTGTCCTTGTCCTTCAGGAATTTACAATCTAAATGGACAGACAAAACACACACATGAGAAGTTAAAAAATTGCTCAAGACTGAACTAACAGATCAAGACATAATCAAAGTCGTGGAATGTAAATAATTCTGACCATGAGAAAAAACTCATAGGTGAGTGATTCCTTTGGGCTGGAGTAACCAGGAAGAGCTTCATAGATTTAGCAGAGTAAAGATGGAATATGAGTTGTATCTTCTGAAAAAAAAAGATACATATACACACACACATACATATATGTATATATTTTAAACTCAAACTACAGAAGAATTAATAAAATTAAAATTCTCCACTCTTGACTTCAACGTTCTCTTTCTGGAAGCAACCACCATTACCATTTTCCTTATGTGTCTTTCCAGTACATTTCACTACTTTTAAATGGATTCTGAATTGATTTTGGTTTTTCAACATCATGCATAATGAAGGGTTAAACTTGGTGTCTAGCCTCATAAAAATAAGACTTACTCAATATAATTTATACAATAGGGACCTCCTGATAAGTCTTGAGGTACCCGAGTGGATTTCCAAGTTGATTGTTGCCACGGCAATCCCTGCTCCATCTGCCTTCAGTTTCTGTCTTGACCCACTTTGGCTTAGATGAATTTCTAGCTGAGGGGACACTAGGCATGCGCCTTTTCTAAGCTTTTTGGGGACTGCATTGGTAGCCAGGTTGCCTTTCCTCCCCTTTCCTCAATCTTACAGATCCTGGAAGGCTTCCTAACTGGAAAAGTTAGGGACCCAAAGTCTGACGCTTTGGAGAGATGGTCTAACTTAGACCTCAATCACATTATCCACTGGATTAATGTGCCCCTCAAAGTATCTAACTCCCTGGGAACAGGTTCTTCTGGAATTCCAGCTAGATCTGCTTCTGTTTTGACTTCTACTCACCCAAAATGGACACTCAAATGCATACCCTGGTTACATATGAGAAAATATTTGTGTGACTCAGGGTGGCTTTTTATAGGCTATTCCATATTAAAATCATTGGCTTGTGTTAGCAGGAAGAAGGACCAAAAATCGTAAACAGCCTTCCAACTTCTCAATGGAACAATCTTTGCCCCAGACCATCCTCCCTGGTGGCTCTAGGAAGTGTAAAGAGAAGTCTTAGGAGGTGGAACAGCTCCACCAATTGGCTTCCTGGATCTCCTTCAGAAGCTATTTTTAGAAGGGTGAGTAGAGCTGCCTCTAAACTGACAATGGGAGACACCCTCCTGGAGGGACACTTCTGAAGGAAGAATTTCTGCTCAGTAGGTTCATTTTAGCATTCGTGCTTGTAGGCAACAGAAGGGAAGAAAGGATCACAATTACTGCTTCTCTTTTAACTTCAAAGCCCTGTGCTATTCATTTTCATATACATATTTTATTTAATTAGCACCCAACTAACTATATTTAAGTAGCTATCATTGCAGGTGAGTTTCAATGGCCAAAGGTTACAAAGTTGGCACACAGCTGCATTCACAAATACAATCTGCCTAACTCCAGGGTTCACTCTCTTCATCACAAACTTTGGATGAGAAAAGCATTTCCAAGTTTGAGGTGCGAGATGGTGGAAATGAAGGGGTTTTTAAAGGATATTTAGAAAACCTGTAAGACTCAGAAGATGGCCAAATCTCTCTCCAGGTCCATCTGAAGGTACTCTCCTCAGGGATGCCTTCACTTCTGAAAAGAAAGAGTATATTTTAAGCACTCTTACTGTTTGAAATGGTCGTTTGGTACTTCCTGCTTACTGATTTGAATTGGTAGTGACGCTTTATCTTGAGTCCCCTGTTAAATCCACGAAGTATGGAGTACATGAGAAGGAGTGCTGGACAGTGAACCAGACAACTCTGTTTTAGTCTTGTCTCTGCCACCAACTACGTGAGACCTAAGTTTCTTTTTAACTTTAGTTCTATGGTGCTCCCTGCCTAACATTGTAGGTGCTTAATAAAGTGCTTGATGTGATTAGTTGGGTTCAGTGTTTCAGCAGGTGACGGGGGTCCGAAAGGCAAAAGCGATAAGGTTACGTAAGTGCGGTTATGACCCCACCAGCTTTGGGCAGTCAGCAGCTTAGCGGCTTGTACTGCAGACGCGTGATGTTGGGGCCTAAGAGCATTGCCTGAACAGTGCAGAAATAAGAAAGGACGATAACTCAGCAGTTAAGGGTCATCGTGCCAGGCACTTATACTTTAGCCTTCACAAGAATCAGTTAGAGCATGCATAAACGGCACCATCTTCAACAAAGGCAGAACTGAGGACTCGGTTAAAGAAAAATACCTGGCATCCCCTTCCCAGGCCCTAATGCTCAGAAAAGATCTCCGCCCAGGGCTTATTTACATCTCGCACCCCGCCCCCGTTTACCACCACGAGGGCCCCGCCCACTTATTCACATATGGGCGCGCCCAGTGTGGGTCTGGTACCCCGGCTTCTGCAGAACCCTCTTCTGCCCCTGGCTTGTCCGGTCCCCGGGGCCTCCCCGGGAATGAGCACTTATCCACTCCCGGCTTGACTATGGAAGGTGGGCGAGGCGGCGGCCCTCGACAGGCCCCACCCAATGGCTCTGGAGAGAGACCGGGAGGGGGACCAGGGCAGAGGTAATGAGGGATGGGTGGCGCTAGAGTAGCAGGTTACGTGCCTTCCCCTCCCCTTCCCAGAGCCTCTCG